GAGTCTATATCACTCTACGGTAGTCGGAGTCTATATCACTCTGCGGTAGTCAGAGTCTATATCAGTGTAAAACACTTCAGTCAGAATCTATATTACTGTACGGTAGTCAGAGTCTATATCAGTGTATGTAAGTCGGAGTCTATATCACTCTACGGTAGTCGGAGTCTATATCAGTGTAAAACACTTCAGTCAGAATCTATATCACTGTACGGTAGTCAGAGTCTATATCAGTGTATGTAAGTCGGAGTCTATATCAGTGTAAAACACTTCAGTCAGAATCTGTATCACTGTACGGTAGTCAGAGTCTATATCACTCTACGGTAGTCGGAGTCTATATCACTCTACGGTAGTCGGAGTCTATATCAGTGTAAAACACTTCAGTCAGAATCTATATCACTCTACGGTTGTCAGAGTCTATATCACTCTACGGTAGTCGGAGTCTATATCACTTTATGTAAGTCGGAGTCTATATCACTCTACGGTAGTCAGAGTCTATATCACTGTATGTAAGTCGGAGTCTATATCACTCTACGGTAGTCGGAGTCTATATCACTCTATGGTAGTCGGAGTCTATATCACTCTACGGTAGTCGGAGTCTATATCACTCTACGGTAGTCAGAGTCTATATCACTGTAGAACACGTTAGTAAGAGTATATATGGTAAGTGTTACCTGCCCTTTCCAGTCTAAGAGTAGAGTGATAATTACATGGTAAGTGTTCCCTCCCCTTTGTAGTCTAATGGTAGTATGATCATTACACACTGTACGCGTTACCTCCCCTTTGTGGTCCTGAAATAGTGTTGTTAGTGTTACTTCCCCTTTGCAGTCTAGAAGTAGTTTTGAAACTATGTTGGTAATGAACGTGTTTATTACATTTTGAGTGTTACCTTCTTTGGTTGTCTAGCAGTAGCATATCACTTATCAATTACGATAGCAAGATCTAATCCGGATATGCCATATAGGTAATATTTGGCAAACTTAGGTTGTATTGTTATCAGGTTGCAATGAGATGGTCGCGAATAGAAATAGCCCAGCCTTGGGTACATCATTTGAGAACATACCCCTGCAAGACCTCAGTTGTCCCCCAACAATCCCGCTTATAGAAAATTTCTATTCTATATATGCCAATAATATAATTCTATACAACAGTTATTGAACGGTGGACGTCGAAAGTTCTTGATAATATATTTTACTTACTCAAACACACTCTTATTTTTTATTATTAAAAAGGGACAATTGGTGTCAGACAAAATGATATTTTTGGTACGTACTTCCGGTTACAGTTAGCGTTGCGCCATTGCTTTGAGACGAACCAAATGTGTTTGTTGCAAAACAAACATACGTTCCTGCATCTACCAGCGCGAGCCCAGTTATTGTTAGGGAAGGCGTTCCAGTATTTCCATTTATGTATTTGGAACCGTCAACTGTAATAGAGGAAGGATTGGTCCCGCTTGTCTTCGACCAGCTGACAGAAGTGGCTGCAGGATTAGCCGATATGACGCAACCTAGCGTGATAGACTGCCCTGCTGACCTAGTGTAGCCAGTCAAAGAGTTTTGCACCACTGGAGCGGCTAAACAAACGACATAAAAGATCAAAGTTACAATACAAAGCCATGCGTATTAAAAACATTTTCTAGCAAACGCAAAATTAATTTATTTCTGTCATCATTTAACAAGTTGTTGAATTTAAACAGCGTGTGAACAAGTGTTGTTAAAAATTTAATTATGCCTTTTCTAATTGTGCTTAAAATATCAGAGAAACGGAAATAACAACAAAAACAACAACGACGACAACACAAACATAACAACAATTACTTATGTTTGAGCAGAAAGCCAAGTACGAAAATCATTTTAAGTTAATTTAACATGCTTCATCTTACCATTGACTGAAGCTACAGTGAGAAACGTAGGGCCACTCTGTCCAAGTACTCCTGTGGCTGTGGAGGCAAAGCACCTATAGCTCCCTGTGTCAGCATTGGTCAAGCTGCTAATGATCAGTGAAGGGTTCGACGTGGTTACACCTGTGTACTTGCCGCCATTGTTAGTTATTGTCGTAACTGAACCTCCTCGATCCTGTAACCATAGGACTGTGGTGATGGCTGACGTTGCGCTCGCCGTACATGCCAGTGTGACGGTATTTCCGGGAACTTCCGTGTACGTTGGTTGTGAAACGATGACCGTAGGTGCTGCAACGGTATAAACTACTGTAAGCAGGGTGTCTTTATCTACATATCAAATTATATATTTTTCATGACACCATCGAAAAAAACTTATTTTATTTGCACGAATCAAAAGTCTTTCTACTAAGGTGTTGCGCAAAACTCAATAATAATACATGTAGAATAATATTTCACCAGTTTGTCTACCACTAGTTTGTCTTACACGAGATTGTCAACCACTAGTTTTTCTACCTCTTGTTTGTCTACCACAAGTTTGTCTACCACTAGTTTGTCTACCTCTTGTTTGTCTACAACTAGAATGTCAACCACTAGTTTGTCTAGCACTAGTTTGTCTTACACTAGTTTGTCTACGTCTTGTTGTCTACCACTAGAATGTCAACCACTAGTTTGTCGTCTACTAGTTTGTCTACCACTAGTTTGTCTACCTCTTGTTTGTCTACCACCAGTTTGTCAACCACTAGTTTGTCTACCACTAGTTTGTCTAACACTAGTTTGTCTACCACTAGATTGTCAACCACTAGTTTGTCTACCAGTAGTTTGTCTATCACTAGTTTGTCTACCACTAGTTTGTCAACCACTAGTTTGTCTACCACTAGATTGTCTACCACTAGATTGTCAACCACTAGTTTGTCTACCAGTAGTTTGTCTACCAGTAGTTTGTCTACCAGTAGTTTGTCTACCTCTTATTTGTCTACCACTAGAATATCAACCACTTGTTTGTCTACCACTAGATTGTCAACCACTAGTTTGTCTACCACTAGTTTGTCTAACACTAGTTTGTCTACCACTAGTTTGTCTACCACTAGTTTGTCTAATAGTTTGTCTACCACTAGTTTGTCTACCACTAGAATGTCTACCACTAGTTTGTCTACCAATAGTTTGTCTACCAGTAGTTTGTCTACTACTAGTTTGTCTACCACTAGATTGTCAACCACTAGTTTGTCTACCACTAGTTTGTCTGTCGTCATTTCCGTTACCAGTAGTTTGTCTACTACTAGTTTGTCTACCACTAGATTGTCAACCACTAGATTGTCAACCACTAGTTTGTCTACCACTAGTTTGTCTACCACTAGATTGTCAACCACTAGTTTGTCTAACACTAGTTTGTCTACCAGTAGTTTGTCTACCAGTAGTTTGTCTACCACTTATTTGTCTACCACTAGAATATCAACCACTTGTTTGTCTACCACTAGATTGTCAACCACTAGTTTGTCTACCACTAGTTTGTCTAACACTAGTTTGTCTACCACTAGTTTGTCTAATAGTTTGTCTACCACTAGTTTATCTACCACTAGAATGTGTACCACTAGTTTGTCTACCAGTAGTTTGTCTACCAGTAGTTAGTCTACCAGTAGTTTGTCTACCACTAGTTTGTCTACCACTAGATTGTCTACTAGTTTGTCTACCACTAGTTTGTCTACCACTAGTTTGTCTACCACTAGTTTGTCTACCACTAGTTTGTCTACCACTAGTTTGTCTACCACTAGTTTGTCTACCACTAGTATGTCAACCAATAGTTTGTCTACCACTAGTTTTTCTACCACTAGAATGTCTACCACTAGTTTGTCTACCACAAGTTTGTCTACCACTAGTTTGTCTACCACTAGATTGTCAACCACTAGTTTGTCTACCAGTAGTTTGTCTACCAGTAGTTTGTCTACCACTAGATTGTCTACCTCTAGTGTGTCTACCACTAGTTTGTCTAACACTAGTTTGTCTACGAGTAGTTTGTCTACCAGTAGTTTGTCTACCTCTTATTTGTCTACCACTAGAATATCAACCACTTGTTTGTCTACCACTAGATTGTCATCCACTAGTTTGTCTAACACTAGTTTGTCTAACACTAGTTTGTCTACCACTAGTTTGTCTACTAGTTTGTCTACCACTAGTTTGTCTACCACTAGAATGTCAACCACTAGTTTGTCTTCCAGTAGTTTGTCTACCACTAGAATGTCTACCAGTAGTTTGTCTACCACTAGTTTGTCTACCACTAGTTTGTCTACCACTAGTTTGTCTACCACTAGATTGTCAACCACTAGTTTGTCTACCAGTAGTTTGTCTACCAGTAGTTTGTCTACCACTAGATTGTCTACCTCTAGTGTGTCTACCACTAAATTGTCTACCACTAGGACGTCTACCACTTGTTTGTCTACCAGCAGAATGTCTCCATGGAATTAACCTTGTTCAGTCCGTTTAATTAAGCATTCTAAATAAAAAAGGGTAAAAGTAAAAAATATTCCTTTCATCTAGAAAATTAAAAATTCATTCCTTGCTTTATGTACTTTATGAAATACGGTTTTGTAACTTATTCGATAAAGTATGTAGAACATTTTTTCCACGGGGTTATATATATACTTTCCACGGGGTTATATATATACCTTCTACGAGGTTATATATATACTTTCCATCGATAAGTGCTACTCAATTTACATTTAATGATTTGGAAAGGCATAAATGAAGCAAACGGAGTGTTATTACAACATTACAAATGCCTTTTGACGCATAATATTTTCAGTTTTAAAACGATGCAACCCTGTTTGGCACCAATTCTAATCTTGGCTACCCTATCATAGAATGTCTATTGGTTTTGTTTTGAAAAACAAATACTGTTCCAACTATACAGCTTTAGGTCATGACTGACAGTGACAATTTGATCTTGAAAAAATAGTAATAACAATAAAAACTGATAAAATCCTTTTTGGGAATAATTATTTAAACACATTTCTTTTGTGGTGACGATCATGAAATGTGATTCAAGAGATATGATGCGGTTCATTTGTTTTCCTCAATATGTCTACTTACTTTGCGAAAATACTACTTGAAACATCGACAGCAGCACGAGACTCGAACGAACTCCAGGGAGCTTAATCCTCCCCATCTTCTTCGTGGGCTTGTTGCTACTGAATACAGCAATACTGTCGAAGTTTTGTCCTGAAAACCCTGTTCGAGAGCGCAAAGAAATAGTGATCACAAAGGGGACATTGTGGAAGTAAATCAATTATTAGATTATTAGAAGGTTTTGCAATCGATTTCCTGAATATGATAGTAATACATACATTATTCACCAAATCCATATCTAAAAAAACATCTAGTTTAGGCTTAAGGAGTTTCCACCCTTCGTAATACATATGTTTTTCTTGTCGTATTTTCGTGTCGTCATTTCCGTATTGCGTATCGGGCATTCCATTACCGTAGTGTAAATTATAGTAACACCGGGTAAACAATAGTACACGTGCGTGACGTGATATGTCAACACCCGATATCTAGACTTAACTTTGAAATCGGACATTAATTAACTCACGGGAAAACACTGACATACGATCAGACGACTTCAAGATGGTCCTGGAATGCAGACTGATGTGTTTTGTTTACCGACCTCACCTGTACGTATCACTTGCTAACAGTAGTTCACAAGCTCTTGGTCGCTACGACTTTTGTTGTCGAGCGAGTTACGCTCTGTCAGATGAATCGGTTCACAAATGCAATTACAATAACTCTGTGAAAATAGTGGTTTGTAAAATATCAAGATCCCTATAAAATGCAAGTGCATGTGCGTGCACGTAATAACGGCATACCATGCGATAGCCTATGGTTACATATGTACCTGACATGTTAATATACCATGCGTAAGCAGGCTATGGAATGATGTCCAAAGTGTACATGATTGAGAGTAATTTTGTTCCATAAAAGAACAGTAAATTGACAAATAAATATAGTAATTTAATTTATTTCCGTCGTTTTTGGTATATTAAATAAAATAAGTGTCATTGTATAAATTCTATCCCTCTGCAAAAAGTTCCGATTTATTTCAAGGTAGACAACTCTCATCAGGATCAAAATAATTGTAAAATGTAAAATAAATTAATTATAAAGACTTTGTGTGTATTTGGTTCAATTTTTCACTCTTTTTGTATGCAACTATGAGTCCTGTTTGATTTTTTTGGCTTGTATTTAGTAACTTTTATCCATATAGTTTCAATAAAAAACGCTTTTTGTAACATGTTGTAGATATTTTATGATAAATAAAATATTTGTAGGGTTGATTAGCAATGTTTCTTTTCATTATTTTATTGTTGTAATAGTTTCGGACAATGCCACACGCTCAAAAAATGTGAAAGTGTTGAATTTGACAAAAATTCAATTTTTCGGTATTTTTTACAAATAAATCCCCAGTTTATCGGAATGCTTANCAAATTAAATCTTAAATTATTATCAAGTCATTGTTTTATTATTTCTTTGCCATAATAACGACAAAGGCAGCGTATTGTTTTAAGTGAAACTCAAGATGGCATGAAAAGCATATTGCCTATATACTTAGTAAACATATGCAATTAAACTAGTGTATGTAGTGGTATCGTTGTTATTAAGTCATTTTCGTACGACTAAAACTAGTCTGTACATTCAATAAACCTGTTTCTAAAGTAATTCAAAGGTGAAGACCATGACGTGTTGACCTCACGATAAGTGAACACGCCCTGTCATATCGACAATCAAAGCCACGGGTGTGTGAGCGTCGTTCGTGTGAACTAGCATACGTAGTAGAAATCAGCTATACAGGCTAAAGCCTTCCCCGCCCAAGTTATGTCGTCTGAAGCAGCTGACGCATACGTCCCAGTTTAACAAACTTACGTTTTCATCGAATTAAATTTTCCCTTAGAAGATGAATATGTAATCTAATAAAATTCTATTTTTCGATATCAGAAAAAAAAATGTTTATTTCAATGCAATTTATTATTGATATCAATATAATCAATATTATTAAATGTCCCTCCAAAATTCAAAATTTGATCTTGAATAAAAACAAAATTTATTTCTGGATATCAGGAAAATTTGCACCGTTTACACGTCTACATGTAACTGTATGCGTCAGTCCGCCACTACTGCACGTTATACCAGACTAGAAATTTAATAAAATACACATTAAACTCCATTTAAAAGTCCTTTTACAGACACTACAGCGACAAGGTGGTATTATCTGCAATGTTGATGGACGTCCTAATCATTATGTGTTCTACGATACCTGATGCATAAGGTTACGTCTGGGACGAGAAATACAGGTTTGTAATGAAAGACTGCTCATATTAAATATTTACAGCATATTCTTGTCTGTTAAATATACGAAACACCAAACAAAACTATCAAAACAATCTCCAGTCATGCTTGGCAATAGGGTAAAAAATGACAACACACCTGCCAACAAAGATAAGGTATGCACTCTATTATGAGGCATAGACCATAGAATTAGATATCCTGTTTACAAAGCCAAATGTTAACGTGCCTTTTGTAGTAAAGTCATATGCTGCGGCAATATGTTGCCCGTGAATGCAAAGAAATGCATACATAGAAAACCAGAAGCTAGACCAGATAACAGACCAGAGAACAGACCAGTAACAGAGGTCTATATTGCAACAACCTACACAGTGACAATGTTTCTAAAATTGCAGGTATTATATTTATTTTTAATATACTTTGACAACCAAAAGTTGATTAAGAATTCTCAAAATAATACATCGTATCATTCTTTAGGCTTGAAACATTTAACAAACCTTTGCTGTATTATCATTTGAAAAGGGACATATTTATTTATATCTTTATTTTCGTGTTTGATTTTTCCCTTCCGAGTTACATTCCAATAAGTGACATGCTTCACAAACTCGGCAAACTACATACCTAAACTGCTCAGTCATACTTCACAAACTCGACAAACTACATACCTATATTACTCAGTCATACTTTACAAACTCGACAAACTACATACCTATACTTCACATACTCGACTAACTAGTTTACGGATTATCTATACCTTTTCATCCTTTGTCATGACTTTAATTGTCTACACACACAATCATTCAAATATATTCATATGTTCACATTAATGGAAGGTAACTACACTTACAACAGGTATCGTGCATGTGTTTAGCCTATCACAATACAAACAGCTTAGTAGAAACACGTACATGAGGAAGACAAAACTTAGGGAAGAGGTGAGTCAATTTAAGAGAATTATGAACAGTTATATTAAAAGATGAGCGTAACCGCGGGTTAGATACAGTATGCCAAAACTAATGACACAGCTGTTTTGTCCTCCCTTTCTAGTACTCATCAGTGACGCTAAGGGCCTAAACGTTGGAAATATAAACAGGTGTAAGTTCGAACTAGTGTTGAAACAGAATGGGAGGTGAATAAAACCCTTTATTTAGGAATTTTCAAAAAATTAGAGAACTGGTTAATTTTAAATTAATAGGTAAAATGTGTACACTGCGAAGCATGCAACTACTATAAAGAGATTACAATGGCCAACTTGGAAAAGTGAACCATTCTTGTCAAAACTAGAGTACGCATAAGTTAAATAATGAGTGACCATGACATTTCTCTTTTACGTTGTACACACTTAAAAAACGGGTGAATTTTGCACAAGTCCGCTAAGAATGTATCGCTTAAAATTGCGTGTAATTCGCGAGGTATGTTATTTTTAGGTGTTGCATCACGAGAAGGGTTTATTGTGAATTCAAGTATTCGAACTTTGTAACTTGCTATAAAACAACAAGAATTACGTTACATTTGAGTTCGTCAAAACTAAGAGAATACTCAACGTATGAAAAAACATAAAAATAAGGTATATCGAAACGTTAAAATTAAGGAAAATATGGCTCATAAATTCTAAATGCGTACATATTATTGTTATTGTAATTTACGACACTCGAACTAACAGCCTATGAAAAAAATGAAATTCAAAATTGTTCTCTTACAATCTTTAAAGCATTGTCACAAAAAGTACAAGAAAAGAATAACTCCCTACAATTCACCTGACAACGACTACTTATAAAAAAATGTCAATACTTCACATTTTAAAACCATTCATTTGACAGGGAGCTTATTAGAATTATATTGTCAACAAATGATATAAAACAATATCAACATACAATAACAAAATAGATCAACAAAGGCGACACGAAATAAAAACCAAAGGAATCAAAGAGACGCAAAACGTTACATCATCAAGGTCTGATTTCATATAATCTGAAAATTTGAACAATACATTAGATGTTTTATATATAAAAAAGGTAACAAGGAAATTAATTCAACATCATGAATGTGGTATCATTGAGGCGGACTAATTAAAATACGTGTAAGTCATATAAAGCGCATAATCTCTTGGTCTAATTTTTATTTATAGTTTGTCAACGTTGTATACAAAATATGGTTTAGTCAACAACAATAACGTTGCTATGCACCACAGACTGCGTGAATTACCGCCCATTTATGTTGATCAGGTCTGCTTAAAAATAGTTATACAAACAGGTTTTGTTTGTATAAGAATTACGTTCTGTCAAAGGTAAAAACACTTCTATTATGATTTAAGGCAATTCTCGGTAGTGTGTGCCTCAATAGATGCAGCGAAGCAAAACATTTTTTGATGTTCTGAACGACATCTTGCCGACATTGAAAGTAAATAAGATACATCGCAATCTTTCGACATTGTCAATTCCTTGCCCTCACATTAAAGATTTCCTTGGGTATAATCATGTTTTAACAAATTTGCAATTCCTATTTTACTGAGGAGTCCGGACACAATTATTATTTGCATGAGTGAATGATGATCGGATGGAGAAGCGATGACAATGTCGAAAGAGTTTATGATTAAGTCGTGGAGCCAAGGCTAGACTTTACATCACAGTTTTAGTTAACAATGACGGTTAGTTTCTTCTGTTTATCATATGAGTACTATACAGTCAATTAAATACGTACAAATATTGGCGATATGGGTCACTTAATCTGTTCTTGGATTGGTGAAAACGTATGCAAACGACATAAGTTAAATATCATTAAAATAAATAAAAATGATGTATGGATATATATAAATGCAGTTAGGGGTATATTCAAGAGTCTACCTTCTGAGGTTAAATCAGGATCAAGTCTCGTTTTGATCTAGTACACCAGACTTGATCGAGATTCGCATTACATTAAGCAAAGCGATAAACGCGATTTCTGTTAATCATGTGAATATTGAGGAACGCTAGTCATCAGGAGGTTTCTTTTATATCAATGGGTTAAATCAACAAAAATGGTGGAAATGGGGATTTTTTTTTAAATTCAAAAATAAGGGATAGAGGTAACCTAAATTACTTAATACAATATAAGAAATTGCGCTTACTTTTATTCAGAGGAAAATGCTATTCGACGAATTCTGATATACCGTTTTGTTCTCCCCTTTAAAATAAGTTATGTTTGGGAAAAAATTAATGATAAGAAAAACAATATTTTTTTATATAAACGTTTTTAAGATCTATGAGTTGCATTATGATAATTTCAGAAGCATGTATGATCTCGACTGTAAGTGGTAGAAAAAAATATAACGATGCAACTTTGATAATCTATATCTTATCCATTATATTTGAATTTGCATTTAGTTTGATCCTGCACTGAGAAACTTTCTAGTGCATATTTTAACATTCCTTATTGCACAAAATAGCATTGACCGTAACTTAATGTCATGATAACAATTGTCAAATATATTATATAGCGTTTCCTACAGCATTAACATGTCTACTAAGATATATAATATATTATAAAGCGTTTCCTACAGCATTAACATGTCAACTAAGATATATAATATATTGTATAGCGTTCCCTACAGCATTAACATGTCTACTAAGATATATAATATATTATAAAGCGTTTCCTACAGCATTAACATGTCAACTAAGATATATAATATATTAAATAGCGTTTCCTACAGCATTAACATGTCTACTAAGATATATAATTTATTCAATATACGGGGGACATGTTCTACTTACCACAGTCCCCCTTTTCACACCAGCAGCATCTAGGGACGACGGAAGTGAAGTAACGCCCTAAGCCGAAATCTCGCGAGATGTTTTATTTAGCTTTGCATGGATGAATTGATAAAAATTTATAACAAAACCTGTTTTCAATTTTAATATACATGATATGAGCAATGCATTGTGTTTTTCATGGCTGTCTCGCTTCGCTGAACAAATATTCAGAATGCATATCAAAATACTCTTTGAAATTTGAATCGGTTGATAGGCTTGTTCTGCAACTTATGAACGAAGGACAAAAACTGTTCGAAGGACACTTTTGGTACAAATATAGACTATGCGGCAGCTCAACCAACCGGAGCAACGCAATCGTCTAACGTAAGTACGGGAAGGTTTACTACCACTCCCTTATTGAACTCACATGACCCTTTAAATACCAATTCACTGCTTCTATTCCATGTAAGTGGTCCCTTTTCTATCACTGAAGATTCGCTGAAATGTACAGATAACACATTTTGTAAAGAGTTGGTTAAGGTTGTATGTACTAAACACCGATTCACACCATTCAGGACCCGCTATTTGATAGACAAAACATGAATAAATATGTCAGTTCAAAGAAAAAATCTCTAGACCAGGCCCAAATAGAGTAAAGTGTAAAGTTTCAATATTAAATTATATTTTATGTTAAAAAGTAACTCAGAATGAGTGAACTTATCGACATATAGGGGAAAGGGAAGGTGATATCATGTACGCTAGTATCAATCGCCGTTATGGATATTTATATGGTACATGGATAGAGAATGTAAATAAAAATATCATATAAAACATGTTAACAAATATAAATACATATTTCAACATTTTATTTTGACATAAAAAAGATTCAAGTTAAGTTAAATGTATTAGACATCAGGGTAGCTATACACAAGTCCTCCCTTTATACCATATACATGTATACTCTACAATCTTCAAAGGATATAATATATTAATAATAATAATATACATTTATATAGCTCCCTATAATATTTGTCAAATTACTTTAAAGCGCTTCACAACATATGGCTAACAGTATTAGTTATAATTGATAAACAAAAAGGCATACAAATCACCATTACACCTTAAGTAAAAAGATAATATATATAAAGGGTGGTGTGTATATGTCGTCTGTGCAAAGAGTCTTAAATACAGACATGAAGAGGTGGGTATAAAAACAATAAAACGGAACTTTGTACTGCAATTAATTGTTCATCATGATTCAACGATGAAGGCGTCGACCCCTTTTTAAACGGTATAAATGCAAATATGTTACATTCAAAATACATGATTGAAGTCCGCTGGTTAGAAGTGATCTAAACAGTTTTTGTTTATATATATATATTTGTTTATATCGTCCGTACAAAGGACATTCGTGGAACAGCGTAATGCCATCTAAAAGTTTGTTTATTACAAAAACTCTTATGTTTGCCGACGACAACACATTTTTTAAGGTTGAAAGAGCGTTGTCTGAGTGTGAGCAGCTACAGAGCGATATAGAAAGAGTATATGATTGGTGCACTGTGTGGAAAATGAAAGTGAAAGTGAAGAAGTGCTGCCAGGTCATTTTTACGAACAAGAAGAAATGTATGAATTTTAATTACACTATGAACGGTGACAACCTGAAGAATGAATGGTGTGTGAAAGATCTTGGAGTTTGGCTGACCTCTTCAATGAGTTTTAGTAACCATATTAGTCGTACTGTTTCCAAATCAATGCGAATGCTCGGTTTTAAAAAAACCGTACCTGTAAAAGTTTTATACAAATACCTGTTTTAAGGTCTCTATATATAAGTCTTGTCAGGAGTCAGTTAGAATACTGTTGTCAGATCTAGACACCTTACCAAACATATTTAATTCACCAGGTCGAAGTTTTCCAGCGTGCATTTTTGATTTTTTTTTAATGTTTTAAGGCACACGTTGACTACAATTCCATGTCTTACTCTGACACTTGTAGGCATTTTAATCTTCCTAGCCTCGAACATAGGCGGGCATTTTTAGACTGCGTATTTCTTTACAAATGTGTTAATAGTGCTTTTGATTGTCCATATTTAGTCAAGCAAATGTATTTTTTTAGTCTCTGGTCGTAATCTACGATCAATTCGTTTTAACAACTTTTACTGCCAGGGAAGTAGAATAAACGTTACAAAGTGTAGTGTTTTAAACAGGATTCAATGTAGTTCTAACCATCTTGATTTTGCACCAGACTATGATATGTTTTGTTCCTCTCTCGCCGAGTTCAAAGTACGATAAAAGAATATTTGCTATCACTAATTCCTTTTGTTTTACACATGAGTATGTTTTAGTCTGTGTTACATGCATAACTGACTGTGATATTTTATACTTGTGTTGTAATGTTGTTATCCATTCTGTAAGTTGACCCTTGGGTCTGTTGAACTGGAAATAAATAAATGGCCCCACGTTAAACGAGGTAGGAGTAGAACATTCAAACTCACACTGATCCGGTCGCGATTATAATCGTATGAATGTCATTTCAGTAGCATGGCAATGTTTCTGTGTAAATTATCATTAAGAAATTAGGTGAAAAGATCTATATAGCTGTTTGAATGTCATTACGAAGGTCTGTATAAACTATAAACAAATAACAATGGTGGTTTGCATGATGACGTTTGTTATTGGTAATAGATCGGGGTTACGTTTTAGCCACACTGCACGTGGGCTCATTAGTACCTGAAGATAAACACATCAGTTATTTGTCAGAGCAGTCGAACCAGCTAGAAACTCACAAGTTTGGTTACAAAACCAAAGTTATACAATGCCGAGTCTACCGGAAGAGGAGAGAGACGGAGCTATTGGAAAGTTCCAAGTTGGTCAGTTAAAATGCCAAGCTGTGCAACATGTGTGTTGCTCTGTAATGTTGTTCCGTCGTCTGCGGCGACGTTAGATATATCACTCTATGGCACTGTCTCTATATGACCCTACCGAGTTTAGATGGTATTCATATCAACTATGAATTGCATGTCCAACTTGTTGACGTCATCATTATTATGACGTCATAAGTGTAACCTTGGATACGGATCCTTCATTCAGGGTACCTGTTCTTTTCCTTGAACGAGCATGCATGCTACATATAGCTAAGTTAAATGCTGATAAATTAATGCAAATTACTACGAGACTAACGCACTTAAAGAAATGGTTGATATAAGTATTGAGCATCTTTCCCTTGACATTCATAGTTAATTATAACATTCGTGGAACTTGTCACATTCCAGTTGGCAATGGTGTTGACTATGGACGCTATGGGAGGCGGATGTGTGGCAATGTTAAGGAAAACGTCTTACAAATTGTTGCGTCCGCGTCTGTGACTATTTTGGTGGCAGTATAGGGTCATGGTTTGGAGTGGTATTTGTGATAGTAGATCGCACTGTACTAGTTGTCGTCAATGGAAAAAAAGTAGTGTTGCCTGTCGTAGTCCGCTCCCCCACCCCGTCCGCCGCCCTGTCATTGATAGTACATGTTTGGGATGTCCTTGGGAAACGGGTTCGTAGCCACCCTGTAACTAATATGAACTCGCTCAAGCGCTGATGGACATGAAAGGAGCAACAAAGCCACTTATGTCATATGACGTCAGACACGGTTTATGCGGCGGCGCATCTATGTGGTAAAACAGGTTCATATTAAGGACACACCTGCTACGAAGCTTGTTATTTTTCAATTTATACCTGTACTTAAAGACCTGTAATATTAAAAAAAATGTGAATTTCTTAAATAAATCTGCATTGTTGAATTTAATAAAACGTTTCTTCTTCTTGTTGAGCATATACCCTGCGTGTGTTTACTATGAATGCAGTTTTTTTCTTTTTAATATTACATGTTCTATGCTAAACAGGTTATCCCGATAAAAATAATGCCATAGCATGGTTTAAATACGACAAAGGTGTGGAATATCAGTTACATATATCTCCACACTAAGCAGATCCAATCATTGTTATCGGTTAAAGTAACCAGCATTAAGGCATGAGAATAAAATTCAGTTTTATGAAGTTTTGTTAGCTTAATGGAACAATTATTGAAATGTTCAAAATCAATTTTGTAAACAAATACAGAAATAAGAGACTTTTTGTGTACATTATAATGATTTATTGAATCACATAACATGCATAGTTTGTTTTTGCTTTAAGTTTATGAAAATATTAATGACTTAAATCTAATCTTTTTGTGTAATTAAACTGATGGCACGTGCATGGCTGGGTACTTAGATTTGACAACATTTGGTGTCATAGGCAATTTAACATCTCATGGTTCAATGATATCATACAAAACCAGTTTCGTTGAAAGCGGTATGAACATGTATTATTTCTATTAAATCACAATCCCATTGTTGAACGTTTTGTCACGTGACATATCTCTATTTATCAGATTTAAGGAGGCAGCCAACGTTTCGTTGTTCAGGAGACTTCCCGTTTCGTAAAAAAGGGGAAAAGTCCACGAATGAGTTCACAGGGAATGTTGCTCTATTTAAAATAATGAGAGAAAACGTATAAGATAAATAAAAAAGAACAAACAGGGAAAAAATAAAATAACAGTCAATTACAGTGGTTTGAGTTTAGAATTGACAGACTATGATTTTAACCTGGTCCCCCTATCATTATACTGCCAAATTTGTTTCCTATTCAAACGTAGTAGTCTGGCTCAGTCGCAATACATAAATATTCAATAACGAAATGAAGGGGACGTTACAGTAAGTACAGGTAACTACAATGGAATTCTCTAGTGTTTGACGTTACTGTTAGTACAGGTAACTACAATGGAATTCTCTAGGTATGACGTTACTGTTAGTACAGATAACTACAATGTAACTATCTAGTGCTTGACGTTACTGTAAGTACAGATTACTACAATGGAACTATCTAGTGTTTGGCGTTAGGTACAGTGTCGGTCACTATTAAAGTGAGAAAGGAAACGGATACATCGTTTTGTTCATTATGTCATTTTCCAGACATTTAAAAGGTTTTAATTAAATTTTCGGAAAAAGAAATTGATGTATAAGGTCGGAGTGTACACTAGCGTACGATGGTCATGGGTGATATTTTTATACAATGAGTAACCCCTGTAATATAACATCTATCAAAATAAAATAAAATAAATCAGCACTTAAATTGGCATATACATGAGGAAGTGGACTTTGTGGGCTTCATCATTTTTCAAAAAAAAAAAAAAAATCGAATTTGGTTTGAGACTTCAGTTTTGGGCATTCACAAATCTGTGTCTACACAACAAAAACTAGCTTTTCATGTAGTCTATTTTTGTACTCAGCACATGTGTAGTAAATATTGTGGAAAATCAACCGGAATGACCTATGCTAAAACGTGAGTACTTCTGTTACCGAGTAGGCGATATTTAATTTCAGAAAGATTTTAAGAAAAAAAAATCTACTTGCGGGGGTCAAATTTTGGGTTAAAAATCATGATATTTTGCATATTTTGGTGTTTTTTGATGTGGTGCCAAAATCTGGGGAAAACAGTTGTTTGAAAAAAAATCAGTCTTCTAAACAAAATGAAATCAAAATGTAGTTTATAAATATGTATATATATGTAGGTGTGTTGTGCAGGTTGAATTCACTATCCATGTTTATGTGAGACATGCCCTTTATATTTAGGGTCAAGCCATTTCAACTGTACACTGCTACCTTATACGCATAGACTTTTATTTTTTCTGAAAAAATGCCTTTTTATTCTTGATTCACCTTCACTTTCATCCATAATTGCTTAAAAACTTTTAAAAAGTTACATGTAAAGGTCAATATATAGGTCACATGTGGGATGTATAAAGGGGGGTAACTCGCCCTTTTCACAGGCACTTCACAATTCATCACATATGTGTCAATTGTGTAATTGGTAAAGTTGATACCAAACAACAAATATTTCACAGGCTATCTCCTGATGCATTCAGACTAGATTAAAGATTATTTCACTCAGTTCAGCACCCGGTATCCATGGTAACTGATACATAAATTTGTATTTATTGAAAATGGGTAAAATATCTGTTTTCATTCTAATACACCATTTTATATGTTTTTTCCACTTGATTCAGTATACAGATTAAATTAGCAAAGTCAATAATGTCAATAAATTTTATTTCCATAATAACAGCTGACGATTTTTTTTCTTCTAGTGAAATGTATAAAATGAACCATTTCTGGGGTCACTGTCAATTCTAGGCGAGGAAAGTAAACAACGGTTGCCATGGTGTCATTTGTCTGATGTTTCAGAATATCTGACATTATTGTGCTGTTCATCGGTTACGGGAAGTGTGTCTGTTGCTAGTTTGTTATTGTGATGGGTTTCCTGGTATTCATTTTGATATCAGTGAGCCTTGATGATGTCATAGATGCCCATTGGTGATGTCATAGTTATGATGACATCACAGTAACTATGACGTCATCACACAAAACAGAAACATCATAGTATCACTGTACTGTTTTGTTTTTCACATGTACATGATCTTAAAGCATCATATTTCATCAAAAATGAAACTTTATTCGTGAAAACTACAAACCTATTCAAGTTTTCATTTTTCAAATCACTTCCCTTTGTTGGTAGTTTGAGAGCAGAATTGGTAAAAAATCACCTGTCAGGAGAATTCATATTACTCGGTCACTATTAAAGTGAGAAAGGAAACGGATACATCGTTTTGTTCATTATGTCATTTCCCAGACATTTTAAAGGTTTTAATTAAATTTTTCGAAAAAGAAACTGATGTATTAGGTAGTAGTGTACAGTAGGGTACGATGACCATGGGTGATATTTTTATACAATGAATAACCCTTGTAATACAACATGTATCAAAATAAAACAAAATAAATCAACACTTAAATTGGCATATACATGAGGAAGTGGACTATGTGGGCTTAATATTTTTTCGTTTTTTTTTTATCGAATTTTAATTGAGACTACAGTTTGGGGCATTCACAAATCTGTGTCTACACATCAAAAACTAGCTTTTCATGTAGTCTATTTTTGTACTCAGCACATGTGTAAAATATTGTGGAAACTCCAACGGGATGACCTATGCTAAAACGGGGGTCAAATTTTGGGTTAAAAATCATGTTATTTTGCATATTTTGGTGTTTTTTGATGTGGTAACCATGGTTTTCACAAGTCCCAAAATTTCGGGAAAACAGTTTTTGAGAATAAATTCAGTCTTCTTAACAAAATGCAATCAAAATGTAGTTAATAAATATGTATATATATGTAGGTGTGTTGTGCAGGTTGAATTCACTATCCATGTTTATGTGAGACATGCCCTTTATATTTAGGGTCAAGCCATTTCTGTTGTTCACTGCTACCTTACTGTAATTACAGATAACTACAATTGAACTGGCTAGTGTTATATCTTCAGCGGGATAAGGATCCTTTAAATAATGCCTACTTTTGCTCTATACCTACGGAAATTGGCACAAATTGTACACGTTTTAAACATAGCAGTTATTGTTATCAACTATATCAGTAAAAAATTTACGCTTTCAGATTTTCAGTTACTTACCGAATACTCATGGTAAGATGTTTTTAGAATGCTTGCAGGAAGCTAATTGTATGAATATTTTAATTTATGCATATGATATCATTGATGACCATAAAAATTGTACTTTTATATTTATCACAACATTGAATGTAAAGGATTGAAGAGAAATTTTCATATGATATAAAAATATCATCATAAATATTTTTTCCCATTAAAACTAGTTTAATATAAGAAAAACATGTTCAACCTGTTCCATTTCGATAGAACTGTACGGTGAACACTTGTGTTATCGTTATTCTGTGTTATAAAGGTAAATGTCAATGGTAGCTTTGATATTAATCAGCACATGACACTAGATAGGCGCTAGTTAATGGATGCCCTTGTGACGGTAAGGTAAGTTATATTCAGACACGTTTATTATCAGTCCTGTTGTTTAGTGAAGATATCTTCTCCAACTTAGTGCCGGTTGACCAAGTCAATCATATGCCTTTTCTTGTCGTCCATGGGTTATATAGGTTCCTCTTTGTTGATATTTAATGGTCAGTTCGAGGACTTAAAAAGGTCACTTCCCTTTGAGTATTTCTGGTGTATTGTACTAAAATCAATGAACAAAATATCACTTTATTTTCAAATTCTCTCGCTATTGGTGCGTGATATTATCCAAAGCAACAGACTAAGGCCTCTGTGGAATAGTGGTAGAAAATTCACTGCTATAAAAATGAGCGTATTTCTGATGATTTTCCTTTTTGCGCTCTTTCGTTAATGTTTTCCTTCCACTTCGTTTAGTGTACCCTCTGTTCTAAAATTATTCCTTGTGCATGTTCATGGAAAGAGAAGGGTAGCTGTATCTCACAGCGTGTCGTGAGAAGCGACCAATGTGGGGCTTACATTAAAGTATGGAACACTGAACAAACCAGAACTGATCTTTTCCGTTTCATTTTACACAACAGGTATTTATACTGTAGTTACGGAGAGTCTGTAGAAATGTCTAATAAACTATTTGCGAACCTACAGCTACCATAAATATATACCAAGAACTTCTGAAACATACATATGATATTTTTCTTCAAATATGGAGATTTTATTTTTTATATCATCGGATGTAACCATTTTTGTTGACATTTATGAAAAGACAGTGAAATGAACAGATATATGCAGTTAATCTTTTTGTATATTTGTATGGCCTTCTAAGGAAGGAACTTATCTTTACTAAAAGTTAAGGATAAACATACTGATAATGCAATGGTTTTTATATTTTCTAGAGCCTTATACATAATAATACCGTTAACGGTATTGTATTGGCTGTTAAAAGGATCCGGTTTCCACATAACACTGAGTATATTTAACATTAGATAAATAAAATGTAAAAATAATAATTTACGAGCCAAATAAATGTCTTTTGTAATAAATCTTTATTACAGGAACGTAAACATCATATCGGTTAACAAAAACATTGTCAATCTCCGGTGCATGCAACGTCAAAGTCTGGCTCGGATGGTTGAACTACAGATTTGTAATTCAGATAGTATACCCAGTAAAAGATCTGGAAAACCACAAAAGCAATCGCATATAAAAGCCGTGCGTACTTTTCGACTCGCCCTGTCGATATCTTCATCAATACTCGACTCCAACATAGCCACGTTTCATCAGCCTTGGTTTTAGCTACCACGTCATAGCTCGTCTGTCGATCACAATCAAAGGTATCCTTGAAAAAAGGCAAAGACAAATATGTATGTATATATAGAAATAATAAGATTAACGACCGACTAAAAAACTAGCTGCTTTCACCCTTCACAGGGCTCTTCAGGTTTATTTAAAAGAACAACTTCGTGACGTCACAATTACATGCCATCACACTACAATAGTAACCTGCCGTCGCGAAGTACACAAGATTGGTGGACAAACTAGCGTACAATTTTACTGTGGTCTGTTGATACTTGGTCTTCATATTTTGATTAATTGTTCTTCCTTCTTTTTCTCTTAAAATAAAGATTCAGTTCTAGATTGTTGTCTATATATATATATATATATATATATATTTGTATGAAACTTTATCTTAAAAGCAAACGTTATCCTGCTGAAGTGGTACTAAACGCCATACAAAGAGCTAAAGAAAAAGGCCCTGTCAGTGTTAATTTAGAAAGAGCTAACACTAAAGATGCTGATATCATACCATTAGTTACTACTTACAATCCAAATAATTGTAATATGTTTCCTGTCGTTAAACATTTTGTAAATTGTATGAAAAACAGTGAGAACATCAAGCGTATTTTTGATAAGAAGAAGATTATAAACTGTAAAAGACAACCTAAAAACTTGAAACGTTTACTATGTACATCCAAATTTGATATGAATACCACAAATGTTGTCACTGGTGTAAAAAAAATGTAAGAAATCAAGGTGTGGTAAATGTAACATTATCATTGAATGTAAAGACTACGTTTTTGAAAATGGTTTCAAAATAGAAATTAGATCAGACATTATCTGTAGTCCTAAGTATGATATTTACTCTTTAATATATAACAATGTGGTGAATTTTATATCGGACAGACCGGATGTGAATTGAGAATACAAATGAATGTACACGACAACAAATGAAGGACAATGAACTGAGATTTTTAAAAGTTAGCAAACATATGCATCAATGTACTTAAGATGATTTTCATGTGTTACCTATTTACAAACTGAATAGCGACGATGTAGTTGCAAGAGAAATTAAAGAAAATATGTTTATAAAAGTCCTCAAACCCAGCATAAATGCACAATGATTTTTGCAATGAATTGTATGTAGATGTTTTCTTTGTCGTGGTATTGTTTGTGACGTCACTATGCTTGTTTATTCATGACGTCACTAAAATTGTTCACTATACAAATATTGATGACGTCATGTAACCAACGGTGATAAATAAACACCAATCCGCCTGAAGAAGCCCTAGAAGGCAGAAAGGCCTAGCGGACGATCTGAAAAAAATGTTTTTATTCTATATTTGTATGTATAGATATATATTTGAATGATGCATTTCATTGCCAGTGACATACGTCATCAACGACATCTTTTTTAATCTTCAACCTTTTTGACCTCATACCACTTTCAATTTTGATATTATTGTTGGAGGAACTGTAAACGCAAGTCGTTTATTTAATAAGAGAAATTTACCAATCAATCGTTTCCGCAAAGAAGTGATATGTCTACTCGATATGTTTGACTATTATGTGGATATAAGTTGTGTCTTGCTTCAAATGTGCAATGCGGGGATGCCTTCATTGAAGTCATTCGTCAATCTTATACGAGAGACATTGCTAACATTATTGGTTTTCACTGATATTAAAAAGACCCAAAAGCAAGGAGGGAGGTGCTGTGCATCATAAACAAATATAATGTGTTTGTTGATAAATGTAACTAAGATAATTAACTCATTTTTTTCTGTTACACGATTGTATTACATTCCTTCCCACTTCAATTACTTACCGGATGTTGCAACTCTTCCATAGACAAGCCATCAATTTCACCAAAACTCTTTCCATTCTCCTTGCTAACTTGAACGTGTGATTTCGCTTCCTGTTCTTTTCGCAATTTCTCTTGATAGCAGTCAACGGCATGTACAAATGTATACTCCATAATAGCAATAAGGACAAAAACGAGATTGGCGCAAAACCAAACGTCTACGGCGTCAAGTTGTATGTTCGTGGGAAGTAGAAATTTGATGCCGACCTCCTCTGTGATCATAGCGAGCAGACATAGTGTACCAAGTTTGATCCTGGCCGAGACCTGTGACCGATCTATCCAGAAACTTAGCCAACCCACAAACACAACAAAGATACTCGGCATGTAGAGACGGACCATGAACCGCCTATAGTCTTGGACAAGCACAACCGACATCTCGAGGCAAGAGCTTTTAATCACTGAAGATAGAAAAATATAGTGAACTGGAAAAACAAATATACTCCATAACAAGAACATGTACAGAGAAAACGTAAACAAGCAAAAGGAAATAAATAAAGAATAGTTATAATTATATGTAGGTACAAACGCAATATGTGCTTCCAATAAGTGGTAGATTCTTGTTCCATGCTTTGCCCTCTTTGTAAAATGAAGATTTCCCGTACAATTTAATAGAATACATCGTTTAATCTACAATTTTTATTTATTTATATTTAAGGGTTAGCATCTTTTCCAACAAAGCGACAGCATCACTACTTATTTCGCAACTCCACATATGAAAGACGCTATGGTAAATTGTGGCATGCTGGTAGTAGATAATGCCACAGCAGTAACATAAGAACCGTATTCTAGCAAGTTACATCCATGTCTTTGTATGGCGAAGTAATGACGAGACAATGATGTGCTGTACATGTGGCAGCATTATTCTGTTTATTCTGCAGTTATTCTGTTTATTCTGCAGTTATTCTGTTTATTCTGCAGTTATTCTGTGTTTCCTGTGTCTATCATCGCATTGTCTCGTCATTATTCCGCCATAAAAGGACATAGATTTGAGAGGCTAAAATAATAAACATTGTGACAAAAATTTAACACGAGCCTGCATATATGTATTACCCTCGTTACCAGTCATCACTATTACCTGCACTGTCGTCTGCGTCACAGATGGAAAATCGCCATTGTTTTGTGTCGACAGACTCCTGCTGGGCTCTCCTGGTGAACACTATTGGCTTTAGAGAGGACCAGTTCAGTAACACCAGATCTTTTGAATATGAATCTGTCAGAAATACGATTATTATTGTCTTGATAATACTGATCACTATAAATTAAGAACATCTCTAATGTTCACGTTCTTTAACATCTGTAAAAGGAGAACTTATTCAGATTCGCAATAAAAACATATCATAACATAAGGGTTTCTTTCAATGGAACGAGATTTGCGATATACAGTTACCAAGACAATGGCTAATATTGGTATACGTACGTATTCTGTATTTAAGGTTACAGATGAACTCGCCTATGGGGAATTGTATGGCCTGGAGGTTACAAGCTAGACCGACTGTCAGTCTGGAAGTATAGAAACATCCGACAACTAATATACAAACATACAGTTATCTGTGGTGGCATGTTTCATCTTTATTCATATGCTTCTAATATATATATATATATATTAATTTTTTAGCTTGTAAACCTTATTAATATGAGTTATCAGTACTTCACATGTAAATATGTTAGAAAACGATTAGCTACGCTTGTTTCATTTTCTATATGTAAGTCGAAGTCACAACAACACGATAAAAAAGCCAAGGTATATCCTTCCGTGATCATTACATGTATCACAACAAATGTGATAAAATCTACGTAATAGATAAGCTAAGTCGACATATTCTCGATCACATCGACATGCTTTAATGTCGATCAACGTAAGAAAATATGCCACCATAATTTTCAAATCATATAGCGTGTTATTAATTCTGTCAACCAAAGTAGCGAGATGGTTAGGCGTCATTTCCTTAAAGCGGTACGGTCACGCACGTAGTTGACCGTAATGGGGGATGACCGAAGTTGACGGTCGTAGACCGTAGGTGACCTTAGTTGAACGTATTAAACGTAACTAGACGTAGTTCAACGTAGCTCAACCCTTCACCCTTCTTGACCCTACTTGACCCTGGTTACCGTACTTAACAGTACTGTGAACGTACTTCAAACGTAGTACAACCCTAGTAGTTGTCCTTATTTGACGCTACTTGACCCAACTTGACCGCAGTGTTGACGGTATTGCCATGTTACTACGGTCAACACTACAGTCAATTACGGTAAACACTACGGTCAATTATGGTAAACACCACGGTCAAGTAGGGTCAATTACGGTCAACTAGGGTCAACTACGTTCAAACTACGGCCACAGTAGGGTACTGGCATCCAAACTCACCGTAGAGATATTTCGAACACGTTGAACATTTTTGGGCTAACTACGGTCAAATCACGGGTTTCTTAAGTTCAAACTACGTTTATAACAACGTTCAACTACGTCTAACTACGTTTAAATAAGGTCACCTTTGGTCTACTACAGTTAACTACGGTCATCTCCCACTACGGTCAACTACGTGCGTGACCGTAAGATGTGACCGCGGCTTTAGGATTTATCAACAGTTTCTTTTTTCACGTATTGTACATTACCAATGACTTAATTTATGAAATCAACACCTCATACCTCATGCTATACACAATAGTACCGTTTGGGAATATCCACACAAATCGGTTAAGCAAGACCGAGTCGTGAACACTTGAATGCAGTTCGTTTTCAACGTAACTCTCCACCAACCAAATGTTATCAAAATAGATCTGTCTGACCACGTGATGCGCCAAGCTATCGTTTACTATGTCGGGGTATGCAAGTCGTTCGTCTCTCCATATTTGGTATGAATAAAATGTGAAATCCGCCATATTCTAAAATGAAAAAAACATTTCACGATTTTGTCTAGATTTGTGTAGTTAATATTGTATACATATCTTACTACATAATTAATGAGAGTTGTGATACCTTTCGTTTTTTCAAACATAATGATTTTCTGACTGTTTATTCCCATATATTACGTTTTAACTACTGGATAAAAATATCTGTGTTTCTCACTCATATTTGAACACATTTCACTATTAATTGGTTTCTGTAAATACTATGTTTTTGGTAAGAATACGATAATATATATTAGTTAATTACAACCTCGATATAATGCAACAATAAGTCCAGCGAAAACGGCTGTTATGAAATTTTGTCGGGGAGAATAGGATTGAGTTTAGTTAGATTGCAAATGAAACGAGAGGCATTGTTTCAAGAATTAACCATGCTCATCTGCTTAATAAGAATATTTCATTTCTAAAATTGCATTTCTTACCTCATCAGAAAATCGTACATTTGTCATAACTAATTGCAGGTCAACCTCTGTCAAGTTTCCTGAAACAAAACATAAATCATTATGCTGATAATTGAACGAAACTGATGCCATCGTTATGATTATCTACGATTGTGCTATAATTCACGAATATAACAAAGAACCCTACGCTAGTTTAAATTTGAGCAAACTATCCCAACAATAAATATCTTTATTTGAATAGATGTCCTATACAATCGTTAAAATGTATTTTGTCGTTCAATTTATCATCGAACAAATTATAAACGAGGTAATGATTATCTAGCGCGTCATACTGACCTGTGTAATAAAAGGGCGGGGTAGCCATATCATGTGACAGTCTTGTATCTATGTCAGCTCGCCTGGTTTAAATGAAATACGATATTAATTAAGCTTCATTATCCTGCATTGAAAATTGAAAATAGCGAAATGGTGGACCGAGCTTTACCTGTATGTACTTAGGAACTCGATCTTTACTTTGTGTTTCATTTCCGATTAAGTACGATTTAACGGTAAGCTACATTATGAGACTAAAACTGTTATTCCTACTTCTTTATCGGGAAGTAGATAGTTTGTTTCTTCTTAATCATGAAGCGTAAGTAATATAAATAAACCTCTTGTGACAATCCTGCAAGCCGATTGCTCGAGACAAATAGTTCATTTCACACTGTCACATTCGGTTTAACAATGGAAGGGTGCCTCCCAACGGCCTAGCAACGGGCGACAGTGTGGTATGACAGTGCAAAAAATTGACAAAGAAGATGTGCATACGGTTGGTTTCTGCTTCCATGTTTCATGTAGGTCTACAGGCATTCCATGTCGCAAAGTGTATTTTTCGCCGGTGATTAGTACGACGGTATAACGCTGAGTTGAGTGAGAAATCCAAGCGCTTCATTCACGTGGTAGTCAGGATAAACAATCGGCCGCTCATGAGGTAAACATTGCAAGATTTGCATATGTCAAGTTGGGTGATTTGGATAAACTTTTGACGGATTAGGACTCTAAAAGCACGCAGCCGGTACCGTTAAGACGAACATGTACAAAGCAGTTGTGATTGAAAAGACAAAAATCGAGGTTATCCGGCAGTGAAACACAAGGACACGGTCATTGATGACAATATTAAGAAACTGTTCGGTAACCCGATCGTCAATTTCAACATTTCAATTGTTATAACGGCCATGCTATTTTGCATTGTTAAAACTACAAACTTTATTGTTAAAGGTTGAATAGTTCACTGTTCAATTTGTTGATAAAAATACAATTTACGTGTATTTGTTACATTACAAACTAAATTAATTAAGGACTTTCGGTTTAATAAAATAAATCCTACACTCAATAAAGCTTGACAGTGCCTAAGGTCACCCCTCGTATATCACTTTCTTACACCCTTCACACGTGTTTCTCCCGTTTTAGCCGGGAAAGATCTGCTTGTCACCCCCTAGGGGGGAGATAGTCTCGTGCCGATTAGCACGTGTTCAATTGTGACGTCATTAAAAAGTGTCACCGATAAGTGTGACGTCATTAAAAGTGAATGACGATAGTCATACCACACATGTATTTTTGTTTACAAATATGGCAACAAACTGTCGGTTGAGTTGTGAATGAAATAAAAGGATGGGAGAAAACTAATCGTCTCCTACCTTGAGGGTGTAACAGGGAAATCTCCTCGGGGTGATTTTTTTCAGAGCCTCGCGTTAGACAACCAAAAACATCACCCCTCTGGAGATTTTTCTGTCACACCATCAAGGTAGGAGAAGATTCTATAAGTCACCCTCAGCTTCGCCTCGGGTGACGGTGATACCCACGGTGTGACCCTATGCACTGTCACACCCTAATGAATGTAATATTTACACAACGTATCGTCACGCAGTATGATGTTATTCCACAATGGGCTCAAAGTGATGAAACCCGTTATAGGGGAAACATGAAACACACACACTTACAAGAATAATAATAAACTTTATCTAACGAGGATGACATGTTTAGCCAAAGGCTAATATACCAAATGGTATATAAATGGTTAGTAAATCTTAATTACAAATATCACAAATACATGTACATAAATATTGCAACATAACATCGTTATAGAATTAAATGTTTAGTATCAGCTATTAGGATATCACAGAATGTACAAGTGTTGAAATTAGGTTAAAGTTTATCATCTAAGATACAATATTGCTTAATACAAGTTTAAAAATTATCACAGAATGCACAAATTATTTGTGCAAATTTGCCGGTTCGTCAATTAAAATGGCACAATGCCTTATGTACATATATGCTGATATAGTAAAAAAAGTAAAAGGTCCCAGGATAAACGCTAATAAAGCATACATTAAAAGTCAATGTTTTTTTTTTAAAAGAATGAATTAAGAATTCCAGAAATATTTGATAAGTTGTTAAAACCGTGATACCTCGTTGTACTGATTTGTTGTGGTTGTCAGGCGACATTTTGTCTTTATGAAGGGGTTGGCGATATTTCGAGGTAACATATTAAGGACATTGTATCAATAAAGGGAATCCTGACTTATATTTGCAGTGAGCGAGGTGGAAAAGAGTGGCATTGTATCTTAGTTTTATAATATGTAATAGCCGTAAATGAATATGTTCAGCTTTAAAAATTCAGATATATAAGACTATTACATACAATAATGTGTGCATTTAAAAGGATATTCACCACTTAATTGATATAAGTTCCATATAACTGTCATATGACCGGTTGTGTGGAACGCATTTATAAGACGGGGCCTATTACAGTAAGGTAACCGAATCCATTAATCTTTATGTGTATTAAATGACTTACTGTTGTGGTGACAGGGCACATCGACCTTCATCGCTGGTAAGTAACACCAGCAATCCCACTAAACAAACACCTTCACGAACGGCATTCATGTTAACTGTAGGATAACAAAGGAAAATATAGGTCAGAACGTCAGACAAAATCAGATTTGAACGAATAGACAAAAGAGCAACAAAAGTCCTGGTTCTGATGGGTTTACTGTAGAAGTGTTTCTGGAAACAGCTAGGGGGGTTCATTGTTAGATCTATAAATTGTGGGTATAGGAAAGGTTTGCTATCAGTAACACAATGGTAAGGTATTATAACATGTATTCCCAAGGGAGATAAACCTAGGCAGTTCCTAAAAAATTGGCGACCCATAACATTATTGAATATAGTCTATAAAATAGCGTCCGGATCGATAGCAGGTAGGATTAGAACAGTTTCAGATAAATTAATAAGTGAAGATAAACAGGATTTCTTTCAGGCCGTTATATAGGGGAAAATACTAGATTAGTTTATGACATTTTGAATATGCAGAAGAAAGATATATTCCAGGTATGTTATTAATGGTAGATTTTGAGAAAGCATTCGACTCAGTCTCATGGGAATTTGTTGATAAAGTTTTAAATTATTTTAATTTTGGTTCTGATATTAGATGCTTGGTAAAACTACTACACACCAATGTAAGTTCAACTATAAACCAAGGTGGTAATCTTTCATCATTCCTAAACATAAAAAGAAGCTGTCGCCAAGGTGATCCAATCGCCCCCAAAAATTATTTTTTGTGTGTGTTGAAATACTAGGCATAAGACTTAGAAATAACAATAAGATTAAGGGTATAGAAGTAAATAAAAGTCCAATCCTTATTTCTCAGTATGCTGATGATACTTCTCTCATTTTAGATGGTTCAGAGTCTTTAAAAGAGTCGATAGCAGAATTGAATACTTTCGCTAAAATATCTGGTTTGAAGTTAAATATAGACAAAACCCAGATGGTTTGGATAGGGAGCAAAAAACATAGTGAAGATACATTTTTACCTGATCTAAAAGTGCAGTGGGGTAGGACAAAATTCATGCTTCTGGGAATATAATTTAGTGTCAATCTTCATGAAATTCCAAAATTAAATTTTGATAAAAAGTTAATTAAACTTAAAGCACTTATCATGACATGGAACAGAAGATCACTTACTCCTATAGGTAGAATCCATCTGATAAAATCTTAAATGATATCAAAATTTTACCATGTATTTGTTGCATTGCCAAATCCTGATGATCTTTTTTTGAATCAATTAAATAATATTCTCTTTAACTTTTTATGGAACAATAAAACTGATAAAATAAGGAGAGATGTGATATTTCAAAATTATTTTGAAGGGGGTCTTAAAATGGTTAATATAAGGTCATTCATCGATTCCTTAAAATTAGGGTGGATACGGAGATTATATCAGAAGTCGGGCAAGTGGCAAGTTATCTTAGAAACACATATTGACTTACATATGCTATCTCATTGTGGAAGTGATTACATTTCAATATGTCTTAATAAGTGCACAAATTATTTTTGGAAAGATGTCTTTAAAGCATGGAGAAGGTTTAATGAAAAGGAGCGGGTGAAACAAATTAATGAAAGTTGCATCTGGAAAATGCCATTATGGTACAATAGGAATTTTACTATTGGGGGAAAATCAATATTTTTCAAGACATGGTATAATAAAGGAGTGACTATAATTTATGACTTAATAAAAGACATTGAGACTTGCACTTTTTACACATTTCAAGAATTTGCTCAAATTTATCAGGTAAATACAAATTTTATCCAATATCATGGTGTATTAACTACAATAAGGAAATATTTAGTTAAAATTGATTGTAAAAAGGATGCTATTGTATACCCTATCATACCCTGTAATATTAAATTTTTCTTAAAAAGAGTAAAAGGGATAAAAGATTTTTATAATCTTATGGTAAAAAAAGATACTATTGCTTCTGGGAGGAGAAAATGGGAAGAAAAATTGGATTTGAATAATTTTAATTGGAATGATATATATAAGACCCCTTTTAGAATAACAAAAAATTCAAGACTACAATGGTTTCAGTATAGAATTGTTCATCATATTTTGACAACAAATTCATCCATGTTTAAAGTAGGATTAGTGACAAGTCCACTCTGTACACTTTGTAATTTAGAACAAGAAACAATCATTCATATTTTGTGGGAATGTAGAGAAGTACAGAATTTTTTACAAAGTTTTGAAATATTGTTAGATGCACTTTTTATCCCATTTTCATTTAATAAAATCAGTTTTCTATTTGGATTATTGGTACCAAACGAGAATATGACATATATTAGAATTGACAATGAAATTTTAATTATTATTAAGTTTTATATTTATAAGACAAGATGTCGACATCAAACGTTGAGCCCAGATGCCTTAGTTAACATGATTAAAGAACAGTATACTGTTCAAAAATATATTGGAAACAGTCAAGGTGATTCTGCACAGGATAGTTTTGAGAAAGAATGGAGAAAATGGATAAAAATATTAGACTATGCGGAAGTGTTATTTTAATAATACCAAGGTAAGAACAGCTTTTAATATTTTTCATGTTCTCTGTCTCTCCTCGATTCCTAGATAATTCTTCTTAATTAACTTATTTAAATCTTTAATTATTTTACTGGACCAGATCTCTCTCCATGATGATGATGATGATTATGATGATGATGATGATGATAATAAGATGATGATGATAAGATGATGATGATGATGATAAGATGATGATGACGACGATGATGATGATGATGATTGTCAATGTGTATGGACAACGATGATGATGATGATGATGATGATGATGATGATGATGATGATGATGATGATGATGATGATGATGATGATTATGATGATGATGATGATGATGATGATGATGAGATGATTGTCAATGTGTATGTACGATGATGATGATGATGATGATGATAATGATGATGATGATGATGATGATGATGATGATGATGATGATGATGATGATGATGTGTGTGTACGATGATGATGATGATGATGATGATGATGATGATGATGATGATGATGATGATGATGATGATGATGATGATGACAACGATGATGATGATGATGATGATGATGATGATGATGATGATGATGATGATGATGATGATGATGATGATGATGATGATGTGTATAAATGACTATGATTGAGAAACGCATGCCTCTGTCTACAAGTGAGAGTTTGTGTGTAATGTCTGTTTGATGTAGATGTAACAAAAAACTTGAAAAAAAAACAATATAAAAAAACAACAACCCCATCATAATCACCAAAATAAAAGAGTAGGAATTATTATTGGATCCATAAATTAATGTGTTAATACCCCACATGTGGTACCTGTCAACTACTATCTTAGATATAAGCGCAATTCGACAACAGGTCCGATGATGGTTATAATCTTTGTTGTGGATTAACCTGTATCCGGTAAAACAAACCTCTTGGCTAATCTAGTTCCATGGCAAACATTATGACTCGATTCAGTAAATATTGATACTTATAACAGGATATAGGGTAATGAATTAATTGTGGTGTCAGCTTAAGTAATGCTTCCTAGTCCGAACATGCAATATATAGAACCAGCTCTAAAGCATCCTCGATATCCAGGGGTTACGCTCACTTTCGCTCTCTGCACCCCTGGTATATGTCATAGCAAAATTGAACGCTAAATGTGCAGCACCTTGAATCTCGCGGTTGTGTAACGGTAAACCTGATTGGCTTTGAAGTCTTGCGTTGGTTCTCTGTAATCTTCAAAGGACAAGTACCAGCTTAGTGATTGGTCAGGTTAATTTACCTGACACCAATTAAATAGCTAGCCGCGTGCCTTCAATTTTGCTATGACACATTCAAGGGGTGTAGAGAGCGAAAGTGAGCGTTACTCCTGGATATCGAGGATAGCTCTAGCATAGTAAATCAAATTTTGAATGGAACTACAATATAATGTAAAATAAAAGTAACAAACATGCTGTGTCATAGCATAGGACACCTATCCACTCTAACAATGACTTGAAATTTCTGAATTTTGGAAGAATTTATAAATGAATGCCAACCTCCTTCTCGGTCAAATGAACGTCAAGTGCGAAGTTTTGTCAGTATGAAGCTGGTATAACAGTTTTTAATCTGTCTGACATATATCCGATTGAATTTAATTCCATCCTAATTATTGTTACCAGCAGGTGTTAAAGGGTTTATTGAATTCCACAGGGAATGCCATTAAAATGATAAAATGAAAAACGATAGATATAAAATGTATTATGTATAAAAATGAATGCTTCGGAAAGCATAATTGCAATAGACCTAGATCAGTCGTTCAGTTATTTATTCTTTTCAAACACCTGTCATACTGTCACTTATTTTATGTTTTTGTAAAGATAAATTATTATCTTAATTCCCATGCATGCATGCATGTCCCACACTAGTTGTTAAATATATATTTCAGCAATAAACAGCATTCTGTTCCATGTTGATGTATATCAAAAGAATCGCGGTGCAGAACATGATATTCACATGCAATACATGTTTATAAAGAAACAAAGAATCAAATCACTGTATATCAGAAGTCATAATGTTGAGAATTTAAGTACATGATATATCAGTTTATTTTCAATTCCAACAAAAGCGTGTATAGGAACTTAAGCACATGTTAGTCCCTTATGGTGGAAATCACTGTCCCGGTTAAAAAATCTGGTATAGAATATTTTCTGAAATAGCATTTGTGATTGTCATATTAATTTTTATATTGAAAATTCTAAACTTACCTTCTCCACGAAGTGTATAATCCGATGGTTCGGTTCGTCAGAGTATCTCCCTCTGGTTTGGTGACCGCTAACTGGTTTTCACAATGGATATCCCTAAGATATTTTGTTTACTAAAGAACAACAAAAGATCCCCACGATGTGGAGTCATTGTGGGCCTAACTTCACCTTTTGACCTCTATGACATGTATACACGCTGTAGGTGATTGGGACGATGGCAACGTGATTATTATAGCAATACCCGTTTACACGAGATCGATGACCGAAGCCAAGAAAGGTGTAAGGAGGATCACCCCACTAATTTTAAATGACCTAACAAACTCGTTCTTAACAGATAATATCATGACACTAGCATTACCAAATTCGAGTTCTTTTTTTAATTTGATAAATGTTATTGTTTTTTATCAATTTTAAGCAAGAACCCTGTAAATCCTACTTCTAAAAAGAAACCAGAAGCACGCCAGTTAGCAGCATTGAACAACGCTTTCCAGCCAATAAACAGTAAAAGCACGCGCAAACTTGCCTATGATAAAGCGAAAATGCCAAACCGGAAAAAGAACCTAATCAGTCACCATAAAGTTAGCAACCTACTGTGAATTAATTATTTGAGAATAATCATGCACAGCGACCAAAGATAAAACTTTTTCTTTTTACATTTCAAAATATGAAATAAGGATTTTCAGTTAAACTTTTATATTTCAATAAATATATATCAGGGTGTTTTATGCATTTGTATTCTCCTTTCATGACAACTACGCCTCAGTGTCACTGTTCAAAACTAACCATTTGACTTGCGTTTTTCTATTATATACTAATCTATTGACAATCTATTAGCATGTAAGAACAGACTAAACCAGCAAAGACATTAACGAGACAATGTTTGTAAATATTTACGATTTGACGGTGATCCACCCTCGTATGTCAACCAACATTAACTTTAATCTAGCACGTGTATTTACCATTACTTAAAAGGATAATTTAATACAGAAAATTATGTGACTATTCTTTTCTTATATAAATAATCTTAGGCAAATATTCTGTGCTCAATATCATATAAACAACGACAATGGGCGGAAAGATTTCTTACCTCAAACCTACCCCTACACATTTAGTATTACCGTACGACCACCAATCAACGACCATAGGTAGAAATATGTCTCTACCCAAAACCTGTCCCTACACATCTAGTATAACCATAAGACCACCAACCAACGACAATGGATGGAAATTTGCTCACTCCAAACTTACCCCATACACATCTAGTATTACCGTACGATCACTAACCAACGACAATGGATGGAAATTTGCTCTCTCCATACCTACCCCTACACATCTAGTATTACCGTTGGACCACTAACCAACGACAACGGTTGGAAATTTGCTCTGTCCAAACCTGACCCTACACATCTACTTTAACCAACATATTCATCATTCTTATCAAAATACCTTCGTTAAGTTCATCTATTTAATCAGATGCATTTCCAAGATATTATGGTGTCCATAGCTTAAGTCACACGATGACGACATAAGCTATTGTTTACGACATGAGATATCGTAATACGGATATATTGGTACACGTGTATTATTTAGTAAAGGTTGGTTTATAGGGAATAAAGATTTTGAAATCATGGACTCTACGGAAATTTCTACATCAGCAGCTTTCCTCAAACTGGACTTAATAACTATAGCTGTATGGTAAGCGGGACGATTTCGATCGTATACCTTACTTCTTAATGGTAATACCTCGACTTCCGTAACCTATGGTGTTAACCCTTTGCAGTTAGAGTTTGCTCCGAAAATTATGTATCCGACATCGATGTCGGCTGATGGACAAACTTTCAACACAGGGTTTTCAATGATTCAGGTTGATAAATAATAATGACTTCATGATTTCATTACGAAATATGCTATATTTTGTGTGATATGAAGGACGATGTTTTTGTTTATGCTCATTGGTATGTATTGTGGCTTCGTTGTCACTATCCCTGTAATTACCTTGAGGACGAGACATCACTTCCGTTGACCTAGAGTTACAGGGTGTCGTTATGAAGAAGCAGACACTTACTCACCAGAACATTTGGTCTTATTCTCATATGTCAACGGTCTCCGTGAATATCTTTCCTTGTTTGTCATAATTTTATTGATATGCGTTCGAATAACTGTTTTGGTGATATTTCGATATCATCATGTAGTGTTGTTTAATTTAAAGAATGGTTAAGTAAGCAGGGTTATAGGTACTGATCACATGACGTGTAGATTGTACTTAATTCACTATAATAACGACCTGGTCTGATAACCATTTTCTTATTAAAGTTTAACGCGACAGGTTTTTAGGTCTGTCTTAAAAAATGAACCGATGTTTTTTAGCATGTACAAGCATGACTACACAGAAAATACATACACCCGTTAGAGTGGACTCTCAAGGTGCATCCTATTTAACCAAGTGCCATATAAACTACCTGTAGATGTAACACAGTGCAGACGTGATATCTGAACTACTGATGTAAAGGTATTTCTGTGTCATTTGTTCATCATATATAAACGTGGTCAAACTATTAAAGAATATACAGAGAATCCCCAAATGCTTTGAAGAAGCTCGTATATCTGATATTGTTAATGACTAAACCGGATTTGACGGGAGACAATATATAAATATGACATTCATTAGCAGGTGACAGTGAATATTGTCAACCCGAGATTTGCATCGGGTGACAATGGGTTTTTGAAACGAAGCGGTGAAAAATGGCCACTGTGAAGAACCCGGAACGCACATTTTTCGCGCATGTGATATTTTTCTCTGTCTCATGGCAATATCACCCGCGCCCCTTAAAACCAACGATTTTCGGAGGTGAAAACCAACCAATCAAATAGCTAGAAATTCACTTGAGGTGTAACAACATGATTTGTTCCATTTGTTGAGCCGATTATTCGTTTACTTTCGGACCACATGGTTTCCTTTCCTGTTCTTGTTTTTCATTTCATTTTGGTCTTTCTCCAGTTCCTGTTGTATTTTGTTTTTGTGTCACTTTGATCTTTTTGTATGTGCTTTAAGTTTGGATTTTGTCTTTGTGTATTGAGGCTATGTTGAATTGTTGGCCTAATGGGTCCAGTACCACAGCCAGAAACTGTCACTTTACACCGGAATCTGTTTTATTCCGGTATGACTATGGCTTTGTTATATATCATATTCGAAAAATATACCTTGAGGGACAAAATGACATTAATTTCAAATAAACAAAATGTTATCAACAACGGTGTTTTGAGCGTGAATATTTAGCGTAGCTAGACCAGGATTCGAACCCATGACCTCAGATTGGTATACTGTCGCTCTTACCAAATGAACCACCTAGCCACAACAGTTATTTCCACAACGAAATTAAGACCATAGGTTCTATATACAAAATATTCATAGAGTAATTATCTAGCGTTTTTTCTGCAGTGGGACAGGGGATCCATGATACTAAAAACCACTAAATAACATGCTTTAATCTCATTCCTAAAGGCAGTAAACCATACCTATTCTACAAACTGTATGGCGTCTCTTTGGATAAAGTGGGCATGGAACAAACAATTTAAATATGGTTATTACCGTCAAATTTTGAGTTCAAACGGTGGGTTTGATTGAATATAGGGTTATGGATTTGTAACATGTTTCTTTATATTGTTAAACATGCCTTCAGCTAGACTGCACCGAAATTTTTGATTTTTAAAAATCTCATATGAGTATCCCGAAATTGTGTTAATACGTTCTAAAACACTATCAGGTGAAGAAATCTGTGCATATGGGTGCAAATTCGTGTGTGCAGTTGACATTGAAGATGTGAATCTAATTGGTTTTAAAGCAGTAATGACGATTGACGAAACTGCTATATAATCTTAAGGAGTTTTTGCATCCGGGGTCACGTCCTAAGGTTCAGGTATTTCCGTTACCATGTATTCAGTTCATCCCTGTATGGCGACAGAGAATTGGCTTAATGTCCCAGTTTCGTTTTCGCAACACAACTGCTTTTGTCAACACAACCCAGTTGTTTTGTGTGAACTTATCAACACATCGCTGAAAAGTGATACACGTAAATTGTGTGGCATATCGCCTATTATCAGTGTGAGCTGTGAGTAACATACTAAAAAGGCGTATTATGTAAATCCTGGAGGTCTGGGATGAAATTACCTAGTCATTTTCTATTCCAGTATAACGCCAAGTGGCACTTTGCGAGAGCTGTCTGATAACATGGAGTCTATTCGTCTTACTGAGAACCGGCCGGGCCTACCACACGTCGGTGTCGGTGGAAGCCAAACAATTCTTGTACAGACTTTTTAAAGAGGTTTTGTTAAACAGGTACATGAAGCAGATATCAACACCGTAAATTAAGAAAGGCGTCCCTGCTACTTTATACGACAACTATCTACAGTAAAAATATGCATGATTAATCTTGTGGACTTCAAAATTGTCTATTGATGTGATGGAGAATATTGATAAGGCTTTGTCATTTTTCGATGATTTTTGGCGCCGTGGGAGCAGTTATTGACTGTTAGCAAGTATTTTGTTTTGTGATTTAGGTGATTCCACGGAAACATTAGGTGACTCAACCATACTTTCTGACATTAGGTGTCACCACCATACTTTCTGACATTAGGTGACACCACCATACTTTCTGACAATAGGTGTCACCGCCATACTTTCTGACATTAGGTGACACCACCATACCCTCTGACATTAGGTGACACCGCCATACTTTCTGACATTAGGTGACACCACCATACTTTCTGACATTAGGTGTCACCGCCATACTTTCTGACATTAGGTGACACCACCATACCCTCTGACATTAGGTGACACCGCCATACTTTCTGACATAAGGTGACACCGCCAAACTTTCTGACATTAGGTGACACCACCATACTTTCTGTCATAAGGTGACACCACCATACTTTCTGACATAAGGTGACACAACCATACTTTCTGACATTAGGTGTCACCACCATACTTTCTGACATAAGGTGACACCACCTTACTTTCTGACATAAGGTGTCACCACCATACTTTCTGACATTAGGTGAC